CGAACAAAAGACAAATTAATTATAAGCTTAAGAACTTAAAGAATTTGAAATAAACAGCAAAAGGCTAAATAGGATTTTGATCTAAGAAAGTTATAAACAGATTAAGGGTCCAGATAAATTTAGAATATTGACTTTTACTATAAGATTTTGGAATTAACAATAAAAAATAAATAATTTCTCATGGGAAACAGACTTATTTTGGCTATTCTGGCAATTACAAGTCATAATAAGTGATGATTTTAGAAACTGACCACTAGAGGGGATTAAAGATTCTAAGCAGAAGAAAAAAAATATAAGCCTGATGTAATACTGGGACTTACAACATGATACAAAGTGTTCTAACATCAGAAATATTAAAGGAGATCTTTGAAGAATGGAACCAGAAGTTAGAAACTCCAATATCAACACTGTCAGTAACTATGTCTACTTCTGTGAATAGACTATGTCTAAAAGATGTTAACGAAGGAATGACAGATGTGGAACAAATTTTATCTGACAAGACAGAGAAAGTACAGAATGTGGAACTACAAATGACAGGCCAAGAGAATGATTTGGAAAATGACGCTTTACTGGATATATAAAAGAACCAACTAAAAACTAAAGGGAAGTACAAATGAAAAACCAAGAGAATGACCTGGAAAAAGTTTTCTTATTGAATCTACAAAAGAGGCTTGTCAAAGCCTTGAAGAAATCTGTGTGGTGGGATAAAGAAGAATTGAGGAGAAATCAAATCCTATGACAATATTTGACTGAATTAAAGATTACAACTGTTAGAAGTAAAAGAAAGGAATATAAAGTTGGTTTATTTGATCAAGATTAAAATAATACTTTTTTTGTAATGTTCTGGCAACCCTTTATGGACTTTTTGCTGATACCAAGATTAAAAAGTAGATGTTTTATAGATTTGCTTATTGATAAGGGATGGGATATGGTAGGAAGAGATATCTGTTTAACCCCTAGAAGGGGTGAAGAGTTATTACATTTATTTTAATAAATGTTCTTCTGTGTCTGAGAAATAGGAGGGAAATATGGCTGGTGGGCTCTCCTCAGGGACATGTAACCCACTCTCTAATTTCCTCCATTGGGAAGCCTAGTTCTGGTTACCGCAATATATCCTCAATTCACCCATGGGGCAGGAAAAATAAAATTTCTGCAGACAGACAGAAGAAGCAAAACGTTAGCCTTTAGGCCTTTCACCTAGACCAATATTTCTCAAACTTTTTTCTCTCAGAACCCCTTCTCACTTTTAAAAATTATAGAAGACTCCAAAAGAGCTTATGTTTGTACAGGTTATATTTATCAGTATTTACCATATTAAAAATTAAAACTGATGTATTCGCTGCCACTACCAATTCTAATTATTGTTTGATGGGATTTTAATATTGTATTATTTTTCAAGATAGGCTGGTAAATCATTTTGATTTCACAGACCCCTGAGAGGGTCTTGGAAGACCCCCAGGGGTCCTAGGACCACACTTTAAGAAACACTGACCTAGACCAATATACATGTGAGACCAGACCCACTGGAAAGAATATATTTTTCAGTCATTCGTTGGCAATTGCTAGCCAAACTCTTGTTCCCACTCTCTGAAGGCCAACCTCCAGCAATAAGGAAGCATTTGGGACACATCTAAGCAAGTGTAAAACTGCTCTAAAGAACTTAGTTTGTTCAAGCGACCTACAGTTGGGCTAAGGGCCAAGCACTGTACCATAAAGAAGTTGTGCCAATGGTTTTTCTAAAATGCTGTTATTGTAGTAGGTACCAGTCTACGCCCAATCTTGTGTGTGGAAAAATGTCAGGATAGCTAGTGAGTTCCTACATGTTTCTATTTGGCCTGCCATGGCCCAGAAGAACACCATGCCACTCCAAGAATTCAAAAGATTTTAGCCTGTTCTCTTATATCTGTCAATGAGCCATTTATGCAACTTAGGCATGTTAGAAAAGACCATTATCATCTTTGTGTTTTGGTGGTTTATTTGTAGGTGTTCCCTTCTGCAGATGTGATGGAATGTATCTACGAAGAGGAGGGTGATCAAGGCTATCAGGAAGGAGGGGGCGCATTCCAGGAGGGGAAAGGAGACAATACAGTCCACAGGGGGAGTGTGGGAAGCGAAAGAGGTTCAGGATAGCTCCTCCCTAGAATCTCCCAGGGTATATCCACTTGTTGCAGTAGTATAGATTGAGTATGGCAAGATTCTGTCTATAAGGTGTAAGCAAATAAAGGAACTTGACTCAACTGGATCGTTTCACTTTGTTCTTGGGCTGGGCCTGACAACAGGACCCTGTCAAGGCTAGCAGCTGTCCACCTTTTGCACCAGACATTGCAGGACTCTGAAAAGAAGCTTAGGAACAAATCTAGAGTTTTCAAGAGATGATAGATTAAATTCCGTACTCTTTTCAGAGCCCAAGACCCTTCCTTCACCTGTATATTCTGGTGCTCCCTCAGAAATGGTTTATTGCTCACTTCCTCCAAGACATTTGGTTGAGTCCATTTGGGCAGCATGCTGGATACCTGAAAAGTAAGAATTGTTCAAGTTTATCTACAGTAAGGAAAGTTTTCAGAAATACTAATTGCAGTACCTCATCTGCACAAGTTCCCCATTCCTTACATGCATTTCAGGCAACTGCAGATTCAGAGTCCAGCCACCTTTGCAGTGCAGAATTGGGCAGGAGGTGACAAGTTTCACCACAGATGCTGATGAAGAGGGCCAATCATTTCGAGAAAGGCCCCAGTCACTGGTGATGCCAACAATATAATATCTTCCCTGGAGGGCAGAACTTCCTCCAAATTGCCTCCAAGGGACATAAAAAAGAGACAACCTTTTTCTAAGGCTTACATTGGACATCACACAGGATCCTTACCTTCAGTACTTGCTGCCCTTTCTTCGCGACTTCGTAACTTGCTAAAAAAAAAAGTTTCTGTTAAGACATTCCATCCACGTTCAGGCAGAATGTGAAGAAAAACAAACTTATTCTTTATAAGCTGACTGGTCTACCAGTCTGCACCTTCACTAACGTTATACACTCAATAATAAAGAACACCAATTCCAAAGAAAATTTAGAATAGCCTCCTCAAGCTGAAAGCCTTCCGGATTCACTGGATAGCACCTTCCACTAGACACATGACCTGCAAATGCTGAGAATAAACCCAGTAAAGCCTGAAGGGAAATTGATAAAAACTCTAACAGCACCTGGCAAACAAGAAAAGAATATTTGTTTATTTAAAGGGCTTATACAGTGGGGCCAAAAAGTATTTAGTCAGCCACCAATTGTGCAAGTTCTCCCACTTAAAAAGATGAGAGAGGCCTGGATGCAACTCAGCATTCTCTCTCCTCCAAACACGACGAGTTGAGTTTAGACCAAAACGCTCTAGAGGATGGAGGAATGGGCCAAAATACCAGCAACAGTGTGTGAAAACCTTGTGAAGACTTACAGAAAACGTTTGACCTCTGTCATTGCCAACAAAGGATATAGCTCTAGAGGATGGAGGAATGGGCCAAAATACCAGCAACAGTGTGTGAAAACCTTGTGAAGACTTACAGAAAACGTTTGACCTCTGTCATTGCCAACAAAGGATATAGCTCTAGAGGATGGAGGAATGGGCCAAAATACCAGCAACAGTGTGTGAAAACCTTGTGAAGACTTACAGAAAACGTTTGACCTCTGTCATTGCCAACAAAGGATATAGCTCTAGAGGATGGAGGAATGGGCCAAAATACCAGCAACAGTGTGTGAAAACCTTGTGAAGACTTACAGAAAACGTTTGACCTCTGTCATTGCCAACAAAGGATATAGCTCTAGAGGATGGAGGAATGGGCCAAAATACCAGCAACAGTGTGTGAAAACCTTGTGAAGACTTACAGAAAACGTTTGACCTCTGTCATTGCCAACAAAGGATATAGCTCTAGAGGATGGAGGAATGGGCCAAAATACCAGCAACAGTGTGTGAAAACCTTGTGAAGACTTACAGAAAACGTTTGACCTCTGTCATTGCCAACAAAGGATATAGCTCTAGAGGATGGAGGAATGGGCCAAAATACCAGCAACAGTGTGTGAAAACCTTGTGAAGACTTACAGAAAACGTTTGACCTCTGTCATTGCCAACAAAGGATATATTCTGGATTTTTTTCCCCATTTTGTCTCTCATAGTTGAGGTATACCTATGATGAAAATTACAGGCCTCTCTCATCTTTTTAAGTGGGAGAACTTGCACAATTGGTGGCTGACTAAATACTTTTTTGCCCCACTGTATGCCGCTCAGATCAACACCACCTCTGAGACTGTCAAAAAACTGGAGGAATACTAGACATAAACAATGCACAAATGGGAGAGGAGCTAATCAGTGATTTATCTCATAAGTGGCAGTACAGTCTGGCTTGCAAAGAGCCCAGGAAGAAGATGTGCAAAAAGATTCTGCCTTGAGGAACTCACTGATAAAAGATGAGTGGAGGCTCCTATCACATTTTCCAAGATTCTGTACTCTAATCTTTGCATTAAAGCGTATTACTTAAATCTGTTTAATTCCTGCTTCCTTGAATGCCCTGTAAGCAGCTTACAAACCCTGTTTTCATAAATAATGTTAAAAATATAGATCTCCAATAACCAGCATAATTTATTTATTTCATTTATTTAAAATATTTGTTTGACTGCCCATCTTAAAGCACAACTCTGGGTGGCTCACAGCAACAATAAAACCACAGAGCCATAAAAACATAAAATCGTAAAACAAATTATAAAAACAAAGTTTCATGTCAGATTCAATTAACCCCCCAATTTATAAGAGGAAACAGATCACAATGTTTTCATCCCTAAGACTTCTGAAAAAGCCAGGTTCTGGGTGGCCTTCTCAAACCCAGAAGGGTAGGGACATCTGGTTCTCAGGGGGAAGGTGATTCCAAAGGAGGAGGGCAGCAATTAAAAAAAATAAAATAAACCTCTGAGGCCCTGATAACGAGCAAAAGGACCTGAAGGTAACCTCTTCTACCTGATCTTATCAGAGGGGCAGAAACAACTGGGAGAAGACAGTCTCAAAAGCATCTAGGTCCCAAGCCACGAAGGGCTTTAATCAAACCAGCACTCTGAATTGCATTTGGAAGCCAACTGGTAATCAGTGCAGCTCTCAAAATCAGTGTCACATGGGCAAATCACGAAGCACCCATCACTACTCAGATGGCTTCATTCTGGACCAGCTGTGGCTTCCAAGTGGTCTTGAAGGACAGCTCCATGCAGAACACATTGCAGCAGTCCAAACAAGATACTAAAAACCAAGAGATTTATAGTTTCACTTCACATTTATACAGTAGAACCAATTCTGCAGCAGGAAGGCATTTTACCCTAAGAGGTCACGGCAACCGAGCGCAGGACTTCCCAGTGAGAGGGAAGGTTGCATTCGGTCACAAATGAACTTAAAGGAAATGTCCCTTGCCAAAATCCAGCTGCAGCCCTATCATGAGCGAAGAAGAAATTTCCCCGGAAAATATGAGGAAAGCTGATATACCTTTGCTGGATTCTTCAAAGGCAGCCTTTATCAGAGACAAGATTTCAACATTGTCCCCAATTCGTGCATAGTAAGAACAGTCATGTCCTAGGGCATCAACCAAGGTAACATCTGCTCCATTTTTGAGCAAAACCTCCACAGCATCCTTACAGCCGTATTCACAGCCCAACATCAGAGCAGTCCTGCAGGAGAAAGAAGAAAGCACAAATGAGGACTCTGAAAAAAGTCCATGGAACAAAGGCATTTGTTTACTTTCAGTCTGATTAGAAAAGGTAATAATGCTACACCGCATGAAAATCCCAAACTTTGCAAACTGTGTAACAGAATTGTTGTACCAGAAGAATCCAGAAGGAAAAGTCTGAAACATCCTTCACTGTCAGCCCTTCATGGTAGACCAGATCAGGAAACAGACTGCACAGGAAGACTAGAACTCTACTTTATTGAGATAGGCTATAACAACAGAATCTTACTAGGCTGTCCATGTCTTGTCTTCCTTTCCCTCCCTCTTCAACCCAAGGGGACTAGTCTGAGTCTCTTCGTAATCTCCCACCTCTCTGAATGCAATTCCAAAGTCACCTCTATCGGATTCATTAGGAGGCAAACAGATACTGTATGATCGCCTGACAAGGAGTGGTTTTGTATCCTGACGAGAGGAGCACAGTGGTTCAGGTCTTGGAGCAGGGAGGCCCACATTCAACCCAACCCTCAGACATCAAAGCTCAGTGGGTGATTTTGAGCTTACAGGAATATTATCAAGGGACAACTGGACAAGCACTGTGTATGTCCCTATAGAAAAGGCAGGCTATAAATCTAACAAGCAAATTGTCACGGCCAGCTTGCACTCTGACAAGGAAACCAACAACGAGCGGCCTGTTCCAGAGTTGCTGGGCGAACTGCAGCCTGTGCAGTTGCAGGCAGAGGAGGCTGCACCACCCGGTAACCAGGACACGCAGCTACCGCCGGTCTTGGGAGATGAGGAGCCTGAGCTGTCACCTCTCCCAGTGCGAGGACTCGCCACGCGGAGAGGAGAACAGAGCAGAGCAAAGGGCTCTGTGAGGCTTCTTGTAAGGAAGGAGCCTCGCCCTTCCCAGCAAGCAACACTGGGGTCGCTCGTATTTAAGAGCAGCAGCATGCCCAAGCCTCTGTGGGCAACAGCCATCCACCAACCTCGACTCCGTGTGCCTTGACTCCCGACTGGAAACCTCATGACCGGACCGCCTGACGACCCCGCTACGACGTTTGGACACTTGGACTCCGACTAACTACTCTCGTGCCTGCTGCTTTGGATTTGGACCCTCTCAAGGCAAGCTTGTTGGACTTGATTTTGTGTGTGTGTGTCTCTGTGTGCGTGCAGCACATACCAATCCTTTATCGTTTGCTATTTGCTTAAAACTTCCTAGTAAAGTTTGCAAACCTCTCTGCACATGTGGCTTGAGAAAGGACACAAATATCTGAGGTTTCTCTCCTTTTCCTTTTGAAATGTACAGTATAATTCCAAACTTAAGGTATTTTTCAATGCAACTGAATAAGCTGCTTACTTAAAACTAGGGCCACATTCTAATATTATAGTGTCAGCTGCTTGATTATTTCTGCTTGTTTCCTATTTTTCTGTGGCTTTGTTCAGTACAATGTACAGTCTGGGAACTGATCCTCAATAAGGAGCATGATCTGGGAACCTGTCCTCCTTACAAGCGCATCAAAGCAATGCCCAGCCCCACCAAGTTCTGGCTAGACAGCAGGGAAACATGCCTGAATTCACAGCTCCCCTCTCACACTAAACTAGCCTTGCCAACCTGTGTTTTCCAGATGTGCTGGAAGTGCTATGATTTGTTCAGTCACTCCTGTTACCCAAAGAGGCAAGAAGGAATGACCGTGTGCCTTCACAGCTGCGATGCTTTAGAATTCCAGGTTTTCTTGATGTCAGACACAGCCATGTGGTTTCATATCCTAGACTACTAACTTTTCATAAATTACAATACACCTCAGGAAGCTTGATGAGCAAATAGGAAGAAGAAATGTGCAATGGCCAGAGTTCAAGCTGGCACTTTACATACCAGTTTATTCTTATCTCTGAACTTTATGGAGCACAATGAACCCTGATGCTCTGTGAAAGGTAAGTTCATTATTGTAACGGGGGGGGGGGGGGACTCCCGAGGCAGCCATTCCTCTGAGGTCCTTCGGTTCTGGAGCTCAGCCCGGTAAACCAAAATCCGCCTTATTAAAAGAAGGTAAGGGTCCACACATGCAACACGCCGTTTACATGCGGGAGACCCTCCATAACTAAGCTAACTTTTGGCCTTGCCTGAGGTGACCCCCTCCTCCCTCCAAAACCTGGCAGACCCCCTTCTTTTCCCCTATTGGCCCCCGGGGATCAGGTGACTCCTTCTGGACACAGAAGGTGGGCTTTTCATTTAAAGGGCCAGCTGCTCCCCACTAGTTATTTTTTAGTTATAATAAGCATCTGGTGTTATTTGTTTATACCGTTTACATGGCCACCCAACTCAGACAATGTGACTCTGGGTGGTGTACAAAAACAGGAAAAAGAACCTCAAACCAACAAATACAAAAAGATATCCTTAGAACCTACCAAAAACAATCAAACAAAGATTAGAGCAGTAATCAACTGTGCCTCCTCAAACTGGGGATTCTACTCTGCCTGTCTCACAGGGCCAGGGAAGAGCCAGGTCTTGACTGTCTTCCTAATGGCCTGCAGGGTTGGGGAAGACAGAAGCTGCCAGCGAGAAGACACTCCTCCAGGGGCCCATAAGGTGGCAGTGTTTCAAGGAAGGGACGTGGAGTGTGTGGGACGTGCAGATACTCTTTGGGGCAGGCAGTCCCACAAATAACTCAGTCCTATGCCATATAGTTGAAGGCAAAAAGAGAAGGGGACGGCAGAGGATGAGATGGTTAGATAGCATCACTGAAGC